AATATAGTTCGTGCTCCTTGCAGGGAGCTCGGGTTCTCAGTAGGGAGCTCGGGTTCTTAATAGGGAGCTCGGACTCTTGGTAGGGAGCTCGGGCTCCTTTTAGAGCGGTCTGGTGGAGTTCGGGCTCAGTAGTGAGCTTGGACTTGCTTTCGGTGCTCGTTTCGGGCGCTCTACTGTCCCGAGTTGCTTGTTTTTGCCACGTGTCGGGTGATTGCGAGGTCGGGCCAAATTCCCCTTCATCACATTTTAATAGCTTATTCAAAGTACTTCAGTCAATGCAACTTAATAAGAGCCGAAACTTTTCCAAACAGGCTTTTAGAAAACTTCCTTGGGCTTATTAAGCTTAGAGCATAGCTTTAATTAGAAGAAGTTTTGCAAGTTCTTTTCTTTTTTTCTTTCTTAATGAATTGTCGGGTTGAACCACTTGATACTGCAAATTTAAGGGTACAAGCTAGAAAATAAAGACGCGTCTTCTAAGCTTGATTTTATTTTTTACAACCAAAAGCTCAAAAGTAAAAGTTTTTTTATTGTATTTTGTACTTAATACTTTTAAGAATACCAAAGCATACATAAATTATGTTTTCTTTTTGTATTTTTAATCTGAAAACCATTTTGATAATTTTTTTTTTAAAAATATGTTTTTCAAAGTAAAATTAATGCTAACTTTTGGATATAACAAAATATGTCATACATGTACATGTCATATGGCATATAAATGTTAGTCAATAACATGTGGATGCTACGTAACAGTATATATGAGTATCATGTGGCATTTGAATATAGGGTCAATGGCATGTTGATACCATATTACAACATATATGGATGATATGTGACATTTGAAGGTAAATTAATGATAGTACATGCCACATTATAGCATAGATGAATGTTGTATAATATATATTTGTCATTAATTATTTTCAAATGCTATGTGATAACATATGAATGTCAGGTCAATGATATGTGGTAGCATATAATGATGTTACATGGCATTTGAAGGTAAATCAATAATATTGTATACTATACGGCATTCATATATGATGTCACATGGAATCTAAAGGCAAATCAACAATATTGTATGCCATACGGCATCCATATATGATATCATGTGGCACACATGTTAATGAATACATTAATGTGCCTATACTTTGTAATATTCATATGTGTTATTATAGGGTAGAATGTATAAGTATCACGCGTACATTTGGTACCCACATTTTAGAAAGTATAAAATATGTCAAAGAGCCAATAAACATGAAATATCAAAAAAAAAAACATCATGACTTTTTTTTATACTTTTACTTCATTTTCTTTTTAAATACAAATCATGTCGAACAAGCATGCTCATGTACTTCTCACACTTTTCCATATGACACTATAACCATACATTGAGAACATCTCCATACTTGTATGCTATAATTTATAGGGAGGTGTTTCAAATGGGCGGCTATAATATATTGTGAGTAGGTGCAGATATGGTCCTTGTGAGTGCAGATGCATATGAATTAGTTGAGAGTCTTGAGACTAGGCTCTATTTAGATTAGCTTTTGCTTTTTAACTTTAAAACTTTTGGATATAGAAAACAAAATTGAACTAAAAAATTATTTGAAATCTAAAACCAAAGCACTTTTAAGTCCCAAGAGAACAAAGCTTTCTGGGCTTTAAAAGCGCAAACATTCCTAAAGTTTCTCCAAACACTATCTAAATCGAGCAAAACCGACCCTATGATTGCATGAATAAAACCAAACCACAAACCATGCACCGATGCACCATTCAGGTGAACCGCTTCGGTCCTTGCTAATAATTTACAATTTACTGTAAATTATCTTTACTGCCTTTGGTGGTTGCCTCTAGAGATATTCCCTTATCCAATCACGGCATTGCATATTTGCACACTAGAGATGTACAAATCAGTCTCCGCTCAAGGCTCCAGTTCCTCAACAAATAGAGTTCTATAATTATTATCTACTGAAATGAAATTAGGACAAATTTTTAAAATCTTCATTAAATTTTGGTAATTGCAATTATCTTCTTTTAATTTTTTGATACAATTGCAACTAGGCCTTAAAAATTGTCGAAATACTCATGAAGTTATTATTGAGACTGATTGATATGAAGGAAAAAAAAATAATATAAACTTTATGAACAACAAAAAAAGAGAATTTAAGGCTTAGTTTGGATGCGGTGTAAATGCAAAATTACACCGGTGCATTTGAAAAACAGCCCACCAGATAAGTGTAAAAGATGAACCGGTCATGTAAAAGTTTTACACTGATGCTTGTTTGGTAATGGTTAAAGTGTACGAGGACGACGACGGAGAAGAAGAAGGAAGGGGGGAGAGAACAAAGAAGCCAACAAGCTACTGAATAGAGAGTGAGAGAGAAGAAGAAGAAGATGGAGAGGAGAAGAGAGAGAGAGGGAGTGGAAACAATGGCTGTGAACGAAATGACGATGAACACAAGGAAACCGAGGTAAAAGTCCACTGCAACTGAGAGATTGTAGTCCTTGCCAGTCGGACAAGAAACAGAGCACCGTGAGCGGCGTATTAGACCCATAAACTGATGACCGGGTGTTGCAACAAGAGAGGCTCTCGTACATGAGCCTCTCTGTTCTCGTTCTCATCGGGTGTTGCAGTCCTTGCCGGGTGTTGCAACCGGAGTATCAAACCGGGTTGCAGTGAGCCTCTCTATTCTCGTTCTCGTTTGGTGACTGGGTTGCAGTCCTTGTCGGGTGTTGCAACCAGCGTATCAGACCCAGAAACAGGCGATGGAAAAGTTGCCAGAGATCACCGCCTCTCTGTTGTCGTCAGAGGAAGAGAGAGAGCTGCCAAAGATCGTTGCCTCTCTGTTTACGTCGGAGGAAGAGAGGAGAAGAGAGAGATGTAATAAATACATCGAAAATTTTGACGTATTTATTACATTGATTTTTGGTATAATTCGGTGTAAAATTACATATTTACTGCAAAATCAAACCGGGGTGCAAAAATTTACCTTAGTTAGCCTAAATTTACACGCAGCCTAAAGTTACAATTTCTAAAAAGTGCACCTCTAAAGTTATAATTTCAAATTTGGAAAATAAATTTCTAAAAAAGAAAAAAGATTTGAAATAGTGATTCATATGAAAAAAAAATTGAAAAATAAATATTTTGTTAAAAATAACTACATAAATATTTTAAATATTTTCATGCCTTTTTAAGTTAAAGCGAGACGATTGCAATTACCAAACTTAGGAGAGGTTTAGCAACAAGTCAGCGATGGTTGCAGCAATTTACCCATTAAATTATTAGTTCAACAAATTACCATTTCATTATGCCCGAGTTCCCCTACCTAACAAATAACAACGCCAAAATATATGACTTTAGTAGGTGAGGTGATGGAACATGGACGGTACAGATTTTATCTTGAAAGTGCATGCGTCAGATTCAGTCGATCAGAGGCTCCACTTGCCAGCAATGTAAAGTCTTGACAAAACTGAACCTATCACCGCCTCTTCCAAAAGGAACTTGCAAGGTCCCCACTTGGCAGGCCCAGGCCTAGGCCTGATGATCGCCATTCCACAAAATCCACCCCACGTCTACCTCTAATCCTCTATCTTACTGCACACGTCGTCGAATGAGTGGGGACATCGTAAACAAGTGGACACGATACAAAGAGATTTTGATGATGGGAATGATGGGATTGGATGGTCAAATCATCAACATCCCAATTACCAAACTAGGAAGAAATCAGGCAATGAATCTAAGTGTTATTTATAACAAAATAGGCTGCATTAAGGTAATTTCATCAAAGTATACTTATCATCATCTACTTGGAACTGGAATGATGCTTTGTATTCCCGTCTAGTCAAATTAATGGTGTTTTGGTTACATTAACAACCCCACTGTGATTAAAACTAGACCATTTGTACAATTATTCGATCAGAGGATCCGACCGTTCACACCATGATGCGTCCATGATTTTTTGTCCTTATGGAATTAGGTATGAGAATAATCACTTTTCATAAGAAACCCTAATCACGATTTGGTGGGATCAGGTACCATTATGGAAACACTTTATTACGGGTTTGTTTACGGGTCGGTTTGGGTCATTTTATTGGCGTTTTTCCAAACGAACCGATCTAGTCGATTTATCTAGAAATGAAACTGAAATCGATCTAGTATTAAATAAAATCGACTTGGTCAATTTGAATTGGTTTGGGTTGATTTTGTGAATGATTTTGTCAGTATGAATGGTAAAGGATTCAAATTTAAGAAAACAAAGACTGGATGCCTGGAAAGTAAAAATGATTTGATGGATTAAAACTGATATTTTATATATAATATATATATATTTCTGAAATAAAGCAATATATATAGTAAAACTGAAATATATCAGATATATATATATATATATATATATATATATAATATATCTAAAATATTATATATATAAATCGGTTCGGGTCGGTTCAGTTTTGATTTTCTTGTGTGAAAACCAAAATTGAACCGAACCATCAATTTATGTTATTTTTTTAACCCAAAACCAATCGGTGATGAAAAAAACTGGCCAAATTGTATTGGATCGGACCGGATTGGTCGGTTTGGATCTTGTTATCGAACTGTCTACCTCCCTATTATGCAGCTTGTACTACAAGAATTCGCTCTTCGTATAAAATGTCCAACATATCTCATCAGTGATCATCGCCGCCGGCAACATTGGAGTTTAGCGACGGAGAACCCCAGGTAATTAAAACCATACTCTTGTTCCTTTTTCTCTGTTTTGCTCTCAATCAACATCATCACCATGCGCAGTTTTCTTTACTTCAGTTGCGTTTTCAGATAGGGGGAGAATTCAATTTGGGTGCACAGGACCATTTCCATTCAAGAAGCCGGAATCCAGTGTCGACGGTCCCAAATTTGGATAACCACCAGCTGCCTTCACACACTCTTCTCCCTCCTTTATCTTATCCTAGTGACCCAGAAGATGCCTCTTCTGTGTCGTTATCAGCTTGGAATCATGACAGCATTACTCTAACTCAAAAGATCCATCTTTCTCTCTCTCCACTTAAAAAGATCAACAAGAACAAGAAAAAATAAACGAAAGCCTTCCTTTCTTTTTTTTTCTGTTGCCTTCTCTGCTCCTCTTTCCCCTCCTTCAAGTTTCAACAGAGATGAATTAATTTGTAGCCGTTGAAAAATTCTCCTTCTACCTCAGAGAAGCATATGTGCAGTAGGAAAAGGTCTCCTCCCCCGGTGGTTCAGACATCAAATTCAAGAGAAATGTTTCCCCTTATGCTGATCTCTTTTGTGGTTCGATTTGCTCTGCTAACTTGGTGGTGTGACGAAGTTGCAAGTGATTCAGCCTAATTAAATTTGTCGCTTCGATTCTCAGTTCGGAGGGGGTTCAAAAAATTCGATTCTCTACGACGTTATAAAAGGTTCGCATAGGCAGTTATTATACATAAGAATTTGCAGCCTTTTTAACAGTAAACCCTCTGATCTTGTGCATATGGATCGGTCTGCAATCTAAGTTGGACGCAACATAGTTCAGGTTGAACACAGTAAAAGTGTTCATCAGAAAAATGAATTGAAAGAAGGGAGTAAGTTGAATTGAATTTCCCTGGTCTGGTTTTGGCTTTTATACTCCACTGCTGAACCCAACCATCTGTACATCCACATGTCGAGGATGACACCTCGTCACAATCCTCATCGTCTCCTACTAGACATAGAACCCGGGGCGCCGCCGACCAACGGAAGCAGGCCATCGCGTGAATCTTACACCAGTGAAGCAAACTTCGACACCAACATGGTAATCATCCTCGCGGCCTTGTTATGTGCCCTAATCTGCGCTCTTGGACTGAACTCAATAGTACGTTGTGCACTAAGATGTGGCCGTCGATTTGCCTTTGAGACACCGGAAGGTACAGCTGCACGTCTATCTGCAACTGGACTTAAGAAGAAGGCATTGCGTCAGATTCCGGTAGCAGTGTATGGATCGGGAGTGAGTATCCAGGCCACAGACTGCCCGATTTGTCTGGGAGAGTTCATGGATGGAGAGAAGGTACGCGTCTTACCCAAATGCAACCATGGGTTCCATGTTAAGTGCATAGATATATGGCTACTTTCGCACTCGTCCTGTCCTACCTGCCGGCACTCACTGCTGGACCGGCCAACAACATCTGATCCAACCGACGCCAATGCCGGTGTTGGGCCTCCCGGAAGTGGCTCCGATCGACAGGGTGGTATTGTCGTAGTTGTTGAGGAGGCGGGTTGATGACGATGGCAGTTGGAAAATATCCAGTATTTGATAGATGTTAATTAGCTTCTTTTTTTTAATTGATTGTAGTTGTTAGTGTTTCTTTTATCAGTTTTAGGAGTTATTTTGCTTAATGTATAGAGTGTATAAAAGTAGAAAAACTTTGGTGGTATTTCGATGTAAAATTTGCCACTTGTCCAAGCCACAAGGCTGGAATAGTGAAAATGGAACGAGAAACATACAAAATGACCTTTACTTGAGTTATTCACGTGGGTGGTGTTTGGCATATATGGGTTTTGCATGAATGGACAAAATGCGTATTCGTTGATTCAACTCGTCGGCAGCTGCAGTGAGGCAGGCCTCTACGACGTGGTGTCTTTTTTTTTCAGAGAAAATTACGGTGGCTCTTTTTCTTTTTTCTTTTTTTAACTTTCGGTCGTATGGTTTGATAAATATATTTCGATCCATATTATTTTATATTAAATTTAAATTCATAATAAGGATTTTAAAATAATCACACGTACAAAAACCTTTGCATTAGATTCGTTTTACAGATTATAGATATTCAAAATATAAAACTGGCAATCATACGGTTTTGGCCTAAGGAGGGCTCACAATGTTGTCCACTTAACATTTGGGTTTCTCTGTTGGTAAAGTCTCAGCTAGGGGTGAGAAAGAAACTGAAAAATCGAACCGACTGAAATCGAACTAAAAAATTGGTTAATCAAACTGGTTGGTTCGATTTTGGTTTGGTGATTTTAAAAATCAAAGATACTGGTTCGGTGTCAATTAACCAATTTAAAAAATCGGCAGTTAATTGAATTGATCGGTATATATGTTTTTGTATATATTTATGTATATTATATTTATATTATATGTATTTTATATATTATAAATTAATAAATATGAATTATATATATATATTATATCATTTAAAATATAATATTATATATATTTATAATAGATATTATAAAGTCAAAAAAACCAAAAAAATGATGAACTGAACCGGTCAACCAATTAACCGACTGATTTCGGTTCGGTTCCAGTTACCGGTTTTCAAAAAACCAGTACTGCCGGTCCAGTTCAAAAAAAAGGCCCACAGTTCAGTTACCTGAACCATGAACACTCCTAGCTCAACCTAAGCTTCGCCCATGAAAAAATCTTCGGGGTTTTTATAGTTCAGTCCAATAGTCCACCCTAAGGTGGAGCTACCGAGCTAAAATTTTTAGGGATGGACTCAATCCTGTCCTTGGATTGATATCAAATTTACAGGTAGGATGCGGTTTATAGAAGGGAAGCCGCTAGTAGGGTAGAAGGGGACTGCAAATTCAGACAAAATCTAATGGTAGGAAACGCTTGGGATCTGAGTCCTGCCTTCATCCGAGGTGTAGGGGTTTACGCTGTAGTGCTGTGTAAACCATTGCAATAAAAAAAATAATAATAAAGGCGGATAAGAGCACAATAGTTAAAAGAAAAAAAATTGAACTCCTATGGCGTTACACTGTTCCATTGCATATTGAGGCAAATCAGCAGCATCCTGATAGCTAGAATGATGATGGCAGATATAGTGTTATTTGGTGTTGTGTTCTCAGCTTTGAAAGATTACAAATACAAAATGTAAATAAATGGTTTAGAAATATAATATATAAGAATTTGTACTATATATATAGATGAATGGTATTTGAATTTAAACATACATTCAATTCAAGGCATATATGATACATAAATATATAATAATTTACTATAAATTTAAACATAGAGAAACCACCGGGGCCAGGGTGACCCCAGCCCGGCCTAAGTTCCGCCTCAAACATAAGTCTGGGCCTGGGCCTATATGGCCTAGGTCAGGTTCTGGTTACTTGGTCACTTGTTAGACTGATAATTTGAAAACATGGGGTTTCATTTGACAAATTCTTTTTTTGGGTCTATAAGGAAATTAAATAAATAAAAGAAAAAAATTTCCTAAAGTTGTGTTTGATTTGAAAGAAAAGGTAGAGAAAAGAAGGCCTAAAGGCCTTTTCTTTCAAACCAAACACGGTCGAATCCCCATGTAACAGGATCAGAGCTCAAATTTCGATGATAATGTCAGTTGTTGGTAATTGTATAGATTGGCAATATGTTTACCTGCGATTGGGATGTATCCCCCTCCCTTGTTACATATCTTGTTTGCAAGCAACAGATCTGGAGTCAAATGATACGATCCCTTCTTGATAATAGAAAGAATAAAGGTGGGAGGAAGAACTTTGGATCTATTACGAACAAGAACAAGATGTGCACAATGGGATACCAAAAGCCAATTAGAAGCTAATACATTGGTTTCTCAAACGTTGAATAAAGACCATTGACATGTTTATTTCTTATTGGGTTTTGTATCCCGCTTTACACAATTTCTTTGGAATGCCAAATTTGCTCCAATAATGAGTACAGATAAGGTTGATAATGTGGATTTAATTGATTAATCTCGAATAGTGGTGCAATCCTGGTTTGGATTTGCATTGCTACGTGGGTTTTCATTTTGTTGATAATAACCAAGTACAATTAACTGATCAAGTAGAGTCAGCATGACGTATGGATGGAGTGAAGATACTCGAAATAAACATACATGAAAAGTTATGCTGTGTTTGGTTTAAAGGAAAAGATAGGGAAAGGAAGGGGTCTGGTCTGGTGGGTTTGCCTACCTTTCTCTACCTTTTCCTTCAAACCAAACACAGCCAGGGTATTTTCAGTGGTTGTTTTTTGTTCAAATAATAAAGATGGGGATTGAAAATCGAAATACATATCTTGTTTAGTGGTTGGAAACTTAGGTTTACTCACTCACTGTTTCAAGTGATTGAATTGGCATATTGAACATTAAGAATCATCGAATCTATGGAGGACATAGAATCGAATCGCAAACTCCCTTTTCTGATTGGAATGAAGTCTATGTTTCCTCGTCATCTTTTCCTTCCTCTATGCTTTGTTTCTTGACTTTTGCGGGGTATTGGTAGGTAGGGGTGTCAATTGAACTGGATCTGGTCCAATCCGGTTCAGTCCAATATTAGTCCATTACAAATGGACCAGATCCAATCCATATGAGTCCATTACAAATGGATCAGATCCAATCCAATCCAATAAAAATTTTAGATTGGTTCAATTGTAATGGACTATCCAATCTGTTCAAATTCGTTTTAATTTAGATCAGTTTCAATCTAGATCTGATTTATAGACACCTATATTCTTATCTTATATTAATGGATCAGATATTGGCTTAATCCAATCCAATCCAATATAAATTTATTACAGATGAACCATGCCCAATCTAATCTAATAAATATTTTGGATCGGATTGATCTAATCCGATATGTCCTGTTCGTCTGTCCAACCCGTCCAAATTGATTTTGGACTTGACGAGTCCAGTCCAAAACCGATCTACTGACATCCTTATCGGTAGGAGACTGATTCAGTAAGTACACCATTGTGATCTTCACATTCAGTAAGCGCTCCATGACATCAGTCTTAGAATTTTTTAGGACAGGTGTCACAATTTTTCAAGTGCTTATTCAGTGCATTCACCTGGTGTGCCTACATGATCAGAACTCTATCCGTAGGCCCAAAAGCGACACTAGGCCCACAGTTAGGAAATTCTTGCATCGCCTGCACGTTGTTTCTACTTTCTACTTTTTCACTTGAGAGGCAAGAGAGAGGAGAATCATTTTTAACGTCAGGGGGGGGGGGGACATAGACTAATAATTAAGAAGCTAGGAAGCCTAAATTGGGACCACCCATGTTACCGGATAGCTTTGGGCGGATGGAGTCGGGGGGAAACATGTTGAGGAAGACACCAAGAGAAAGAGTCCAGTGGGACGAGCCTGTCGTCCACTCGTCCCCAATGTGGGTCCTATGTCTAATGAACTACTGACGTGTTCATTCGTGATTGGTTACAATAGCCTGCTATGCACAGCTCACAGCTGTGTGAACAGCATATCCGGGTTCCACTAGTGCCATTAGCTCTGCTTTGATATTTAAAGGACAGACAATGTACCCACTAGGACTAAATATCTCACAAGGAGTCCAAGGACATACGACGTACAATGTACACGGTAATGCTTGACCCATTTAACGTGGGCTACTACTAAGGGGTGTTTGCCAACATGGTTGTTTTTCAAAAATTTTATTGTTTTTGCTGATGTGTAGAAGTTGATTCTTGTTTTGAGAAAGCCAACCATGTACCGCCTCAATTGGCCGTATGTTAAAGTAGTTCCATTCCATCTGATCACTACCAGTGGACAAGTGGTGGGCTTCGATTCCCAACCAAAAATAAGCCCATTTTTTCAAGACAATTATGCGTACCCCATGATTCATAACAAGTGGGGAGTTCAGTCAGTGGTCTCACCTGTACTGCATCCGAGACGAATAGAGAGTGAGAGAAGACAGAAGAAACAAAGGAGGTGTTAGAAAAGAGAAAAACAAAAACAAAGAGAAGGAGAGAATGGATTCCATTCAGGAGTTTCGCTTGGCCCATGCTATAGCGAATTGGGCCAGGACCCACTTGTTTCATTTTTCATGGGCTTCCCTTTGCCCTTAGTGGCTGTCAGCTTTAGCGTGGCTTGATTACGAGGCTATCTGGCTATGTACCTTCCATATATATTTTTTTTGTTTAAATTATTTCTCATTAACAAAGCCTCCTTTTTTCTATTTTCTACCAACAAAAAAGAAAAAAAAAATCCAGAGGTTAACTGTAAATGCTCTAAATCGACATCTTCTTTAGGTTCTCAACCAATACTTGCCTTGGTCTCACGTCAATACAGCCACCATCTCAACAGCTGGGCCATTCACATCCATATCCATATTAGATCTTATAGATTAATATATTGCAAACCAAAATCAGCTGGGCTCTTTGTTACACAAACAACTTGTGTGAGCACAACATAACAACGTACACACGCTAAATTATTAAAACTATTTTATTCTTAAAAATGAAGAAAAAAAAAAGAGGAAGAGAGTGAAAGATGAGAGGGCGGCCGGCGGCCCGGCCGGAAATGAGAGGTTCATTCAATTCAGAAATCAGAATTAATTCACTTGGATAACAGGTCTGAGAGGTTGTTGGCCAAGCATGTGATGGTGGTAGCAGACACCCCACTGCTGCCACCCAAATACCATTTCTTCAGCATCTCCGTAACATTGGCGTTCTCCACTTTGATCTTCGCTTCTTCTTTTCCTTCCGTTACAAATGAGATCTGCATTCATATCATCAACATCAATGAATTTGATGGGAACGAAGCTGATGATCTATATAATAAATTAAATTAAATAAATGGTAGCTCTCTAGCTAGCTTGCGTCATGCCTCAGCAGTGGCGGAAGTGGCGGGAAAAGTGTAGGTGATGACAGAGTGCTTCTTGAAGTATTTGGATTGGAAGAATTGAATGAGTTTCTCTAGTGCTTCCTCCTCCTCTTCCTCGTATTTGTCAACCTCTGCCAATCGATCTCTCACCGCACTCTCTAGCTGCACCCCGTACTGTGAACCCTTTATTTCCTTGATCACCACCACTCTCACCAATTTATCAACCGGTGCTGCATGCAACATTATCGTTGGTTAAACCCGGTTCACCCAAATGTATGATTGAGGTTTGTATATATTTGGTTCCAGCCAGGTTCTTATATATATTAGGAATACTCAAGAATTATACCCCTAGCTTACCGGAAATTAGGGCGTCGAAAAAGTCATCATTCTTGGCTAGCTCATTGCCCGACTTGCCTTTCCATTGCTGCAAATGGCTCACAATCTCGGGATCCAGATAAACCCCAATTGCAGTAAATTTGATTTGGAGGAAATGTATCTCAATGTCTGTAATGCCTGTTCATCACCCACAAAGTATATAAAAGTAAGCCACAGCCATCAAATCCAAGCACTAATTTATAATAATGCATCTTTTAAAAATATTTGGGGCCTGTTTGACATGTTTTTCCGTGCGGTCCTTTAGTTGTTTACAAGTCGGGAAGACTGATTTTCAGTCTATTTTTATTTGGCACATGGATGATCTAGCCGCTAAAAGATGAAATGCCGAAAAGACACAAAATAACCATTTTAGGCTGATTTCGGAAAGCTCCAAATGAAATTTCTCATATCTTTCGCGTTTTAATCTCACACGAAAAGACACACATCTGCCAAATGTGCTTTGGGCTACTCAAGTCTTTATGCAAAAGCTCAATCCATCTTTTGCATGTATCTTCCCAAAAATATGCACCAAACGGGCCCTTGATTACTAGAGATCTGTAAAACGCAGTAGAATACTCATAATCATGTATTGGATCTAAGATGTTTTTTATCTGCTTTTTTTTATAATTTTTCTGTTAAAAAATGTAAAATTTAACTGGTTCTGGATTCTGGAACAACCCGGCCGGTCCAATTTTCCACTTCCGGGCCACTTCTAAAAGAATGGTAGATGCATGGTACTAGCGAGTAGCGACTTACCGTGACCAATCAGAGAGAGTGGCTTCAGCGTTGAGATTTCCGGTGGGAAAGGTATCTCATCGACCATCACGGTTTCGGTGCTCACTGCATAAAGTATAATTTCAAAATTCAAACAAACCACCAAAGATGAATAGTTTTTTTGACGGGTAAGAAGATGAATAATTGAAGTAGTAATACTTTAGTAGTAGTAGTAGAGTGGTACGAGCATCTATTTGACTGAACTACAACAAATCAAATTTAATCCAATCAAAGGCAATTAGAATTTAATCTAAGGTTTTCATTGTTTTTCCGTAAGTTATTTATTCGGGTAAATACAGTTATTTGGGTAAGTTTTTCTTGGAAAATATTTAATTGAGTAAGTGCATTTATCATGTTCTTTAATTTCTCATGTAAATAAGATAATGACCATTTACCCTGATAAGTGATCCAAAAAAATAAAATTTTCTTGATCCCCACATAAATCTAAAAAAAAAAAATCATAGGATTCTTAGTCAATAAAAACCAAAATCCCATTGACTAACTTTCTCCCCTCTTAAAAAAAAAAAGAACACCCCCTAAATGTATACATGGCTAACTAGCTAAGGGATTAGAGAATTAATGCACAAACCACAGATGAGAAAGAGAAAGAGAGAGAGAGAGTTACTAGTATAGTTGGTGGAAGAGATGGTACGTTCTTCTTCTCGCTTGAAGGAAAAACGAAATACAGATAGACAGGTAGAGAAAAGTGAGGAAGGATTGGGAGCAGAATGAGAAATTTATTGGGTTGTAAGTTCTAACTAACATACTATTTCTTGGCTCAGCAGTCCCGTCTGCCTCCCCCCAAAACCCGATCCTCTTGGTAGGTACACCTGTATAAGTTAGGTGGAGCTTGTGATTTATCTCATTTTCTTCTATTTGACCGACAGGCCACAGCTTCCACTTAAAATTAATAGCCCTTTGATCCACATCGGAGAATAACGATTTCAATTTGTCATCTCTCTTCTGATTTTCTTTACATGAAAACAACAGAAAGTTTAACATGCCATGAGCAGATGAGCTATTTAACATCTTATGCACCATCAACCAATCCACCTCTGCGTGCCTGCACTAGGCAGCGACAGTCCCACGAATCGTTGTTGAAATTTGACGTTTCTTCTTCATGCTGGGTATGGGTTTGAATGAAAAGCCGCTCACTATCCACCAATCCAATAGTGTAATTTTTAGCATGGTTTTTGATGTAATCGCTTTTGGTCACGTACCATTTTTTGTGATGTATAAATTTTTTTTTGGCTAAGTACCTCGTGTTTGACCTGGTGGTGACGTGCCTTGGTGATGAGCTACTTGGTGGTGAACTTCCTGGGGGAGAACTGCCTGGTGGCGAACTGCCTGGTGATGCTCCCTGGTGGCGAACTGCCTAGGGCAAACTGCCTGGTGGCGAACTGCCCGGTGGCGAACTGCCTGGTAGTGCTCCCTGGTGGCGAATTGCCTGGTGGCGAACTGCCCGGCATTGCTCCCTGGTGGCGAACTGCCTGGCATTGCTCCCTGGTGGCGAACTGCCTGATGGCGAACTGCCTAGTGGCGAACTGCCCGGCAGTGCTCCCTGGTGGCGAACTGCCCGGCAGTGCTCCTTGGTGGCGAACTGCCTGATGGCGAACTGCCTGGTAGCGCTCCCTGGTGGCGAACTGCCAGGTGGCGAGCTACCTGGTGGCGAACTACCTGGGGGCGAACTGCCCGACAGTGCTCCTTGGTGGCGAACTGCCTGGTGGCGAACTGCCTGACGGCGAACTGCCTGGTGGCGAACTGCCTGATGGCAAACTGCTTGGTGGTGAACTGCCTGATGGCAAACTGCCTGCTGGCGAACTGCCCGGCAGTGCTCCCTGGTGGCGAACTGCCTGATGGCGAACTGCCTGGTAGCGCTCCCTGGTGGCAAACTGCCAAGTGGCGAGCTACCTGGGGGCGAACTGCCTGGTGGCGAACTGCCCGGCAGTGCTCCCTGGTGGCGAACTGCCTGGTGGCGAACTGCCTGATGGTGAACTCGTCACTTGACTTGCTCCTAGGCGGTCTGCAACTCAGAGGATGGTGGAGCTCCCTGGTGCAGCGCAACCCG